TTTATCAAGTACAGGGGTGGGGAACCTGCAGCCTTAAGGCCACATGTGGCCTTCTAGGTCCTTAAGTACAGCCTTTTGACTGAATCCAAATTTTACAGAATAAATCCTTTTATTTTGATTAATACATTTTTTGTCTTCTGTTATATTTTTATTTTATTTTTAAAATGAATGTATTTCAAATGCCAAAAAATAAAATAAATTTCAATGAAATAATCCTCCCAGATTGACGAGCGTAATTAGAACATGCATAGGCCATAAGGGCTAAATTGACAGCTGCTATGCTCATGATTTAGTTCTAACTTCCCCTGTCTTGCTGGCACCACTACCACATGAGGCTGGCTAGCAAGAGTTTATGGGGGTTGAGCATGCCAGTCTGTTATCAGCTTTTGACAATGGTGCACTGTGTTTCTGTTTGAAGTGGAATTTGTGAATAGTTGCATAGCTTGACAGTATTTTTTAATTCTGTCTGCTTAACAGCCCATTGTGTCAAAGAAGACTAAGAGAAGACTGAAGGAAGAAAACATATTTTAAATGAGGATTGTGAATTGCAATATTATCCTGTTTCTGCTAAAGATAAGATGATTTGCTTGCTTTGTGATGCTGCAATATCAACATTAAAGAAATTCAATGCTCATCAGCATTATAACACTTATAAGGACCACAAATATTTTAAATTAGAGGGAGAGGCACAAAGGTTGCATTGTAGAATTTAAAAGATGAAAAACAAAAGCAAAGACAATTCTTTCAAGCAGCAAAAAGACCTGGAAATAATGTCACTGAAGCAACTTATAAAGTAGCTTATATACTTGGGGGCGGGGGAAAAGGAAGCCATTCAGTGATGTAGAAATTGTGAAAGAATGCATGTTAGACCTTGTACAAACAACTGCCTCTTTCAAGGAGAATCCTAACTGAGGGGCAGCATGAAATAGCCTTCAACTTAACAGAATAACTTCATGCAATACTTCAAGAGGAAAATGTATATTATTCAATCACTTTGGATGAATCAACTGATACTTCTGACTTGGCACAGATTTTATACTTCGTTCAGGTCATAATAGAAAATTTTCTTTGCAATGAAGAGTTTTGGGCACTCTTGCAAACAATGAGAATAGACATCTTCAACAACTTTCAAGATAAATATCATGAAGTTAGGCTGAATTTGGTAAATATAGTGAGTGTATGTACAAACAGTGTACCTTCCATGACAGGAAAACATGAAGGGTTTATTGCACAGATAAAAAAAGGTATTAACATATCCAGATGCTCTCATTTTTTTTTCATTATATGTAAGCATCAGCAAGATCCTTGTGCTAAAGCTACTATTTTAAGTGACACTTTGCAACGAGTTATAAGTATTGTTAACTATATTTGTGCAAATGCAACATGGTAACATTGAAAGATGAGCTATTCAGTGTGGATCTGCCCCAACATTCTAAAGTACATTGGCTATGGCAGGGTCAAGGCGTTAGCCAAAATTTTATCTCTGTGAGAACAGTTAATTTTTATGAAGAACAGAATCAGCAATGTGAGTTATTGAAAGAAGATTTCTATTAACAATGTAGCATTTCTGTGTGATGTGTCAAATCAAAATGACTTGAATAATTCTTTGCAAGGTAAAACTAAGTCTACATATGATAAAAAAAAAATCCAGTCTTTTTTCAGAACACTTCAAAAGGAAATTTCAGATGAAAAGTTTCCCCAGTTAGCAAAGGTCACTAATGAGCAGGATGATTTATGTGAATCATTTGAAGAATAAACAGCTATTATAGATCTATTAATTGGAGAACACAATGAAAGGTTCACTGACTTTGAGAATCATGACATCACCCTCAAATAAGCATTTCAGCCTTACCTAGGCACCTTGATATCACCAAGGCACCTAAAGAACTACAGATGGAATTGATTGAGCTCTCAGTAGATGACATTTTAAAGTCATTGTTTGATGCCAAAAAAGATCTAATTGAAATACCGAAAAATGCAATAGAATACCCACGCCTTTGGCAACACGTTCGAAAAATGCTTTCTTGCTTTTCAACCACTTATTGCTGCAAATCTACATTCTCCTACCTAACCCAAATTAAGACAGGTCACAAATGACTGATACTCATCTAGAGGATCAACTTAAACTTCAGACCTCCATGCTGCAACCAAATGTTTAAATGCTTTCCAACAAAAAGTAGATACAAAAAAGTGATTAAAATGTTAGTTAACTTTAAAATTAACAAATAGTTTCCATTTTTTGAAATTATTAAGTATATAGTAGTTAGATTTTTACAAAATAATGTACATTTTTATGTATATCTAATTGAATTTTCTTGAATGTGGCCTTATTTGATTATAGCTAAATTAATGTGACCTTCCAACATGACAGGTTCCCCACCCCTGATAGAGTACATACTATCTGCCTGGCCCTACGCTAGGCCCAGCATAAATGCCTTTCTTATTTAAAAGATAAATCAGTGAGTATGTTTTGGAGGTTTACAAAGGCAGGAGAGGGACGCTGAAAGAGTACCAGCATCTGCAGCTGCCTTGGGAATGCTGGGTGAACTCTGGCACCAGGGGAGTTTTAAGAGAAAGAACTCCCTGCCAGGCACAGTGGCTCATGCCTGTAATCTTAGCACTCTGGGAGGCCGAGGCGGGCGGATTGCTCGAGGTCAGGAGTTCAGAAACAGCCTGAGCAAGAGCGAGACCCAGTCTCCACTATAAATAGAAAGAAATTAATTGGCCAACTAATATATATATAGAAAAAATTAGCCAGGCATGGTGGCACACGCCTGTAGTCCCAGCTACTCGAGAGGCTGAGACAGGAGGATCACTTGAGCCCAGGAGTTTGAGGTTGCTGTGAGCTAGGCTGACGCCACGGCACTCACTCTAGCCTGGGCAACAAAGTGAGACTCTGTCTCAAAAAAAAAAAAAAAAAGAGAGAGAGAGAGAAAGAACTCCCAGTTGGAAACCCAAAAACTGGATCTGTGCTTAGGTCACCCACTGAGATGCTGAATTATAGACCAAATTTCAACTTCTCTGTGCTTCAGTATCCTGAGTATGCCATATAGTGACCTCTTTCAGTATAAAGACAATAGAGCTATCAATATGAAAATGTTTTAAAATTAAAGGTGCTAATGATAAATTAAGCCAAGTTACTTTTAAACTTTTTGTTGAAAAATAACACACACAGAAATTTGCACATAAATCTAGCAGCACCCACATCAAGAAATGGGCCATTATGAAGCCCTTCTCTGGCCCCTCCAAGTCACTACCTATCCCCTGCTAATCTGGCCTCTAACAGCACTGATTACTTTTTCTGTCTTTAGGCTTTGTGGGAATGGGAGTGAGCAGGACATGCCCCTTTGTGTCTGGCTTCTTTTGCTAAGCATTAGATTGTTAGATTCACTGTATTGTTGGATTTGGTTATAGGTTGTTCATTCTCAATGCCATGTAATATTTGCTCCACTGTGAGTGTCTCACATGTATGCATCCATTCTACTGTGGTGGTATTTGAGTAGTTTCATATATAGCCTTTTATCTATAGAAAAGACCAGAAGTTCTCTCTTATGCAGAAGGAGAGATCCACAGGTGAAATTCACCACCTCTTTTCTACTTTAAATTGTCTGATCAAAGGAACTTTGTGTTTGTTTTTCTTCCATGTCAGAATTAGAATTAATCTGACTAAATTATTAATAATATATTATAATATATATTATTTGCTAGTATGTACTTTATGAACTTTTTTCACCTGGCAAACTTACTTTTTGAATGTTTCTAAGAAACTTAATGTGTGCACTGTTCTTACAACTAAAGCAGCAGTCATCAATCCTCAATTGAAATATTTCTTTCTTTTTGAAAATAAACACCATATTTCACTCTGGGAGGCTGAAGTGGGAAGATCGCTTGAGCTCAGGAGTTCAAGACCAGCCTGAGCAAGAGCGAGACCATGTCTCTACTAAAAATAGAAAAATTAGCCGGTGTGGTGGCACGCACCTGTAGTCCCAGCTACTCAGGAGGCTGAGGCAGGAGGATCACTTGAGCCCAGGAGTTTGAGGTTGCTGTGAGCTACACTGATGCCACGGCACTCCATCTGGGTGACAGAGTGAGACTGCATCTAAAAAAAAAAAAAAAAAAACATGCTTTTTCTAATCCTTAGGTTTGCACTATACCACACAACACATACTATACCAATGGTTTAAAGCCTATGTGGGGTTTTTTCTTCTTTTTTTGCAATGGAATTCTATATTCAAAGGAAGATGACTCCAGAATCCTCATATGTAAAATATAAAATAAAAAAAATTAAATATATTAATATAGTCCATCTCTGCCTATTGACATTTCAGAAAGGAGAGGGGGCTGATATTGACGGCTGGCTCTAGTGAGCTTCCTTCCTACTTCCAAAGGAAACTAGCCTGCTTCTGATGGTGGTTGTGTCTCAAGGGAGGGACCACGTCTGGGGTTCTTTTGTGGTTCCACAACAGTGTCCCGCATGCCGCAGTGCTAATCAATGTCTGGTACCGGTGGACAGAGCAGATTGTGAGTGGGAGGGAAAAGCACCCAAATAAGATATCAAAAACAAAACAAAACAAAAAACCTGAGATTGCCAACTTAGAAAACAAAACAATCTTTACGCAGAGAATAACACAACTCCTCACTCACACATCCCACCTGTGACATTAATGAGCGCCTTCACCTATGGGCTGGGTGTCATCTTTTCCACTCCTGGTAGTTTATAGAATTTTTTACTTTGAAGTGGAAGAGAAAAAAAATAAAAAAAAGACCCATAGCTGCCCTAAAAGGAAGGAGGAAGTGAGAGCTCTCCAGCGTCTGGCTGGCTGGCTGTGTGACAGCCCATGATGTTCTTTCCGGTCTTGGTAACATTCTGAATTTCCACCTGCCCACCCCTGCAGCTTATAACGCTTTCAGCACGTGAAATTAGAGCAGTTCAGTCTCTTTCTATCTCCCGGCAGACGAGTAGGAGTAGAGTGTCATGCTGTTTCTCCTGTTTTCCACAGTTCCCGGGAGGTAAAAGAACTCTGGCTAGAGACTCTACGAGGGTAAGTACCATAAATTAACTCCACTAGAAATCATAAGCTGCCTGACAAGCCATGGGCCATTAAAGTCAGAGGCAACAGAAAACAGCTACACCATGGAATATGCTCTAGCGTTATAAAGTCTCAGAACACAGACAGCTTTGCTGCAGTGTGAAGCCTCTACTCTTTTGGTGTAGGAATTCAATACATGTCATCTTTGTTTTATGTTTACTATAAGTAGCATCCTGGGAATGTGTTTTTTTCCTTTTTGGGTTAGATGAAAAAATCCATGCAAAGCACTTAATACAGTAACTGTCGCATGGTGAGCATGCCAAAATGTTAGTTGTTATTATAATTGATATTCAGATTTTTAAGGGGAATGTAATAAATTAGCAACAAGTTTTAGAATGGTAAAGATATCCAGCTTCAATAATTTAAAAGTAAATGTGTTCAGATGCTGTTCTTAATTGCATAAGACATCTGGCAACATAGAACTGACTTTAAATGAAAACTTTTCTATCTAATAGTTTCAAACTCTGTGTTTTGGCAAAGTGGGACTGAAAGTGGCCAACTTATGCTGTGTATAGCTCTTCACTCTTTCCACATGGTCTGTTGTAGACAGAGCCGGAGCTGCACGGGAGCAGGATTCATCCCTGGACAGCCAGCCCCAACGCTGATGAAGTTAATAAGCAACCACAATGCTGTATGTATCCCTCTTATGTTCATTAATTCGTATTTCCTAGAGGCAAGAGCCAAACAATGTTTACTTCATTTTATTTTTTCTCTTTTAGTCAAAAACACTAAATGCTGGTGATATGGAGACTCTCATTGAATGCCAATCGGAGGTAAGAAAACAATTTTAAAATGTTTTATCTGTACTGTGAGAATACTGAAAACTTTCTGTTTTAATTTGATGATATTTGGATTGTGTAATTATCAGAGTGGAAAATTATCATAAATATAGTAAATTGAACACATTAATTTGGATCTATATGATGACAGTTATAACTTTAATATTGATTCTAGAAGTTAGGAAAAAACAATACACTCTATTGACCTAATTTTTAATATATATGTATTTTGTGGGGAAAGACTGGATAGTTTTCTTCTGTCATTATTTTAAAATAAAAATATATTTTTAGGGTGATATCAAGGAACATCCCCTGTTGGCATCATGTGAGAGTGAAGATAGTATTTGCCAGTTCATTGGTGAGTCTGAAAACATACTGATCTTTTATATAAGTGCTAACAAGCAGTGTTCTTGGTTTGCAAAACCACAGAGCTTTTACTCTACTAGGAATTTCTTCGTACAAGTGTTCTGTTAAAGACCGCAGAACGTTAACCTCTAAATGGCAGGCGTGCTCCAGCTCACTAGAGCGGCAAGTGCTCAGAGGGGAAGACCCTCCCCGTAGCCAATCCCGCAGCTCTGCCAAGGGTTTTTACGGGGGTTAAATCTCCTGGCCATTGATATTTTGACAATTAAAGCATGGATATGTTTGAAAAACACACAGTGCCTTTTCTGTTTTGTTCCTTCTCTAAAGAAGAATGCATCCAAAAGCCCATGACACAATTGTTGCTAATCTCAAATCCCGAAGAGCTCACCACTTGCTCTTAATTTTTTTCTTAGTGCACTTCATTATAACATAACTCTGACCCAGTTCTCCTGAACTGTTAAGGACAAGTCCCTTCTCTCTCATTGTTCTTCCACTTGCCAGTATAAAATGTATAATAACATATGCCAATATATTTAGAAAATATAGCCTTTATAATTAGGGAAAAAAGAGAAGGAAAGAAAGTGAGGAAAAGGCCGGGCGCGGTGGCTCAAGCCTGTAATCCTAGCACTCTGGGAGGCCGAGGCGGGCGGATTGCTCGAGGTCAGGAGTTCGAAACCAGCCTGAGCAAGAGCAAGACCCGTCTCTACTATAATATGAAAGTACTTAATGTTGCCAATAAGCATAATAATATTATAATCCGGATGGTGCGCGAATGCCTGTAGTCCCAGCTAACGTCGGACGGGCGCTGAGGCAGAAGGACTTGCTGAGCCCGGAGTTTTGAGGTGTGCTTGTGAGCTAGGCTGCACGCACGGCACTCACTCTAGCCTGTGCAACAAAGGGAGACTCTGTGCTCAAAAAAAAAAAAAAAAAAAAAAAAAAAAAAAAACAGCAAAAAAAAAAAAAAAAAGAAAGTGAGGAAAAGAAAAGAAAAAAGAAATTTAAGAGGCAATACTCATTGTACACACATTTTCTGGATTTGGGAAGAATAATGTATTTTGGTGGTGTTTTACTGATAATTCCCAATCTCCAGGTCTGAGTTCAGGCCCTCCTACAGCAAGCAATGTGTTTGCCGTGTCCTAAAGCAGCAACCTGGGCGACCCAGGTGCCTGCAGATGCACCAGGTGATGTCGCTCCCTCTGGTGGCTGCAGAGGGTTAATGGCCAGCCCTGCTAAGTGCCCTGAAAAGGATCTTGAGCAAGTCACTTCCTCTCCTTATGTTTCGTTTTCTTCACCAAAGGAGGAAATTAAAATAATCTATTTCATATCAGAAATGTCCTCTATGGTTATTAAGGCCAATAGGTTAATATGGTTGTTTATGACCTGCACAGTTAGGTTTTGCTAACTTTTTGCAGCAAAAAGCCGATAAAGGGTGAAAACAGGAAAGGTGGAGGCTTTGAGGAACCTTGGTGTTGATGTTTAGGGGTGGTTGCCCTGGTAACAGTGCAGTTGTTTTTTCAGTTGGTTTTTCTAGATTAAGATTCATGCCCTTTGGCTTTCAAAATTATGTCCCCCACTTAGCATATCATGGATGACATTACGTGGCCAACAACACCCATTTTCTCACCTGCAGCTTTGCTTACGAATATTGTATCAATTTTCCTCTTTACCTTGTTTTCTTGGCTGTAGAAGTTAAGAAGAGGAAGAAGGTGCTGTCCTGGCCCTTTCTTATGAGAAGGCTCTCCCCTTCGTCAGATTTCTCTGGGGCTTTGGAACCGGAATTGAAAGCGTCACTGTTTGATCAGCCCTTGGCAATTCTCTGCGGGGAAAACGACACACTCCCCAGGCCCATTCAGGTAGGTGCACATTTGCTCGTAATCCTGCTTCAGTTTCCTGTTGGATATGAAAATCCTTAGGAGATCTGCATGTCATCCCCTGCCAATCTTTTAGGGGCTGATCTTTCATATCTTCCACTCTTGGAGATGACGTTCCTGCACACGAGTGCAGTCAGAGTATCTGCCTATACTCCAGAACTTGGGAGTGTTTGCCAGTGAGCTCAGAGTGAAGGTCCTCCGTTCCTCTGACATTGAGAAATTAAGAATGCTGACAATTTGTAGCTTCTGAAAAGTCAACAGGCAGAGATGCAGTGTAGTGTTTATGATCAGAAATCCAAGGTTTATATGCAAGTATTAGAAAGGAGGGAGGTCCAAATCATTCCAGAATGTGTAAAATTAGAGCTTTCACAATATTCCTCCTCTAGAGAAACAGCAGGGTCCAGGGAGACAGTTGACAGCAATTGGACTGAAAGGAAAATCTGGTATCAATACTCTTGTTGAAGCCATCTTAGTGCAGCCCAAAAGAGAAGTAACTTTTAGGGACAATATATTTTGTGACAAGTAAAGTTAGAGATTATTCATGTACATTATTTTAATTCTCTTTCTGGAACCTAAACCCAGATCTTTGTAGCAGCAAAGTGTGTATCTTCAGAAAAAGGGTAACGGTTGCTTGTTCCTACACCTGTTTCCTGCAGGATATTCTCGCTATTCTGTGCCTCAAAGGCCCCTCCACCGAAGGGATATTCAGGAAAGCGGCCAACGAGAAGGCCCGCAAGGAGCTGAAGGAGGAGCTCAACTGCGGCGGCGCCGTGGACCTGGAGCGGCTGCCCGTGCACCTGCTGGCTGCCGTCTTTAAGGTGAGCTCACCGCGCCGCGCCCACGACCTGCCTGGCTGCCACACCGCATTCTCAGGAAGCAAGGAATGGGCTCTTCCCCCACCAGGCGAAGCACACTGATCTTGGAGTTTAAGTTTTTTAGTTAATCCCTTTACTTATATATGTAAGGACCTCTGTTTCTCTGACCTCAGATTCTACCAAAAAGTGATGCATTAGGTGCCCCCAAAATGTTGAGGAGAAAAGGTCATTAATTGTCCCGTGGCAGAGTCCAGTCCCTAAATCCAGTGGTCCTTCAGAATGCACCCAGCTGGGGACAGTGCCTCTCCCTCTGCCTGTTGTCGGGAAGTTGCTGGGAGTCAACAAGCGTCGGGGAGAAGTTTCCCCAGATCCGCCAGACGCAGGGGTGCAGGCAGTGAGGGGATAAGCGTAGAGTCCCAAGGTGGAACAGAAGTAAGGTGGCAGTGGGGACACAGCACACTGTATAGTACGATGGACCAACAGTCCACCTCTCATCCACCAGGACTTCCTCAGGAGCATCCCCCTGAAGCTCCTTTCAAGTGACCTCTTTGAGGAGTGGATGGGCGCCCTGGAGACGCAGGACGAGGAGGAGAGAATCGAGGCTCTCAAACAGTAAGTCCTCAAAGTGACGCCAGGGGACAAGGCCTGAGTGGCCTCTGCCTTTTGACTTTTTGCATAACTGCTGAAGTGCTTCGGGATTCCCGTTTCATGGAAACTGTCGCATTTAGGAGATCTGAGCAGAATTGCTCATCCACTGCTGGCATGAAAACCGGGGAGGGGGGGTGGGGGGATGCCCAGACCTGTGAAAGAAGCAGCTTTAGCCAAATTACCTATTTCTTCAAAAAGCAGAAAGTAAACTTCAATCCTCACAAATCCCAAGAGGTTAGGGAGTCTGAAAATATGACAAGTTCAAAACAATATGAGATAAAGTTATACCTGAAAGCTGTAACACAGGCTACACAGCAAAGGAGAGGAACTTGGGCTTATCTTTAACCTACATCGACTGGTGTCGTGCAAGGCAACAACTCTCCCACGGAACATCCCTTACTATAGTAGAGAAATCTGGAAGGCATTGTTTTGTTCATAAAATTCCATAATATATTTCATATTCTTGTAATTAACCAAAATGAAAACCATATAAAAACAAATTCCAGTGAGAGTAAAAATAATTACATATATAATGGAATGTGTGACCTGTTAGCAACTAGAGAATTCTAGACACCAAGCTTAAAATGCCAGCACTTTTGCCACATCCTATAAAAGTCTATCTATATATTATAATGGTCCCACATGGCTAAATATTTTCAATGAGATATTTATAGAATTGAAGACATTAGACTGTCCCAAAATGAAAATCCTAAGATTATCACAATAAGATTCTACTTGGACATAAAACTCTTCTATAACAATACCTTCTCCTGAGAAATGAAAATGATCTATGTATTGGGGTCACCATTTCATTTTTTGAAAAAGTGAGACTTTAAAAAGTCTATTATTGTTTGTACCAATGTTGCTGTTTAAGCATTGCTTTATTATGAACATGCCCTTATAAACTGATTTATTCTCCATAAAAATTTCTCAGAATGGCATAAAAATGTGTCATTTTCATTTGGTGGTTTCAGTTCAAAAAAGCGAGAAAACCAGTCTAGCAGTGTTAGAAACAGAAAGAAACACCACATGACTAAATGATTACTCAACAAAATGATTTTCAAAATGCAAAGGCAAACTGTGCTATTTAATACAGGCTTGCCTTCATAATTTAAGATCTGTATAAATAATTAAGGGCTTTGTTACTGATATCCCAGTTATAAAGGCTGGTTTCTTAACTCCTCAAGACCTTGTGGTTAACCAGTCTCATTCTGTGTCAGTTGCCACTGGAAGTCTCTGAATGGACATTTCACAATATTGCTTGTGAAAATGCACCTTCCTCATTTTAAAGGAAGTCTGGTTTAGGCAGAAACTTTCAACTTGCCACACCAAAGCCAGATAGAACGTTAGCCTCTTTTAAAACTAACGTCCCTCAACTTTTTTCCAGGGTTGCAGAGAAGCTCCCGCGGCCCAATCTGCTGCTGCTGAAGCACCTGGTGTCGGTGCTGTACCTGATCAGCAAGAACGCTGAGGTCAGCAAGATGGACGCCAGCAACCTGGCAATCTGCATCGGACCCAACGTGCTCACCCTGGAGAATGACCAAAACTTGTCATTTGAAGCCCAGAAAGACTTAAACAATAAGGTTTGTTCTGCTTACTTATGAGAAATTCCCAACTTATGATCTCACCATCTGTTTGCAAAAGCCAAGCAGAGAAAACTTCCTGAATTTCTCCAACTGACTCAAAATCACACTAAAAATATAAGATGCAGAATGCTTTTGTCATAGTTCCACTCTCTCTTATGCATTTGATGAAACTGAATAAATCTACGTCCATCTGTCATTCTATGAGACAGAAGATAAGTGCTACAGATTTTACCGTCACTATCTCTCAGTATAGAAAATCACTTTTTTTTTCTTTTGTGCATCACACTCTATCAGTCCAACTGTCAATTTGGGAAACCACTTACTTAAATGAAAAATTTAAGTAAAAGCTATTTAAGTTCTTAAACAAAAAATGCATGTCTCAAAAACACCAAATATCTAACTTTAATGTACATGATTGTTACCAAATTTCTGTATGCTCTTTTCAATCACATAAAAATCTCCAATTCTCACTTTGGCACCTCCCTAATAGGTGTCCCCCACTTTTTCCCCATTCTTTCCTTGTTTCCTAAAAAACAAAGTCTTTAAGCTAACAACCTGCCTATTTTTCCCCACAGGTTAAGACATTGGTGGAATTCCTCATTGATAACTGCTTTGAAATATTTGGAGAAAACATTCCAGTGCATTCCAGTATCACCTCTGATGACTCCCTAGAACACACTGACAGCTCAGGTACAGAACGTGCTTCAGCCAATCATAGGGAAAAGCTCATGCCAGTCTGCCCACCCATGCCTATAATATAAAAAGCACTTTTGAAGCAGAAGTTACCTTTACAAATCACCAATTCAGACTAGACTCAAGTCTGTAAGGAGGTCGTTAGATATGAAAACCTTGCTGCTGAGTTTTCTTGAAATACCTCCTCAAACTGCGGATACACTTTTGGCTTCAGTCTGGCTTCAGAACTTCCCCCTTTCTATTCTAAATCACATATAATGCTAAATGAATTCAAAGATCACAATTTTACTAAGTAAACTTTAGCCATAGAGTTGGGGTAAGAAAGTTTTGTTTCCACATAATGGAATATGAATCCATTAAAATGGAAATGGGCCCAATAAAAGAGCCATCCAAAGGATCAATTTTAGAATTTAAGGTTAATAAATTTTCAGTGAAACACTGTCTTCTCTTTTCTCTCTCCCTCCTTCCCTTCCTCCCTCTTTCTCTCCCTCCCTCCCTCCTTCACTCATTCCCTTTTCCCATCTTCTCATCACAAAATAAATTTGGGAAAAAAATTTTAATGTGACAAATTTCTTGTCATATCAAGCCTCGAAGTACTTCCACCAAATTGCCTAGCTAGGCCATAATTGTGTGTAGGGTGAACTGTAGTAAAGTTTATTTCTATAAGAACCTGAACAAAAAGCTCAACTGTCCTTAACTTCCCCCAGACATGTCAACCCTGCAGAATGACTCAGCCTATGATAGCAATGACCCCGATGTGGAATCCAACAGCAACAGCACCGTCAACTCTCCCGTCGGGAGGCCCCCAGGGCCCACTGCCTCGGCCGCTGGCCTGGACACCAGAGGGCCATGGGACGCCTCTGAGTCAAGGCCAGAGCCCATCACAAGCACAGTGGCCAGGCTGAAAGGCTGCCTCGGCCAGCCGGACAGGAGGCACTCGGAGCCCAGCATGCTGTCCTCGCAAGAGTGCCTGGAGAGCCAGACAACAAACCCAGCCCTGACAAAGAGTGAGGACGCCCTCCCCACGCCGCGCTCAGGCTCTCGCCTTGAGAGTGAGGACGCCGAAGACCCGTTTCCAGAGGAGGTCTTCCCTGCAGGGCAAGGCAAAACCAAGAGGCCAGTGGACCTGAAGATCAAGAACTTGACCCAGGGCCTAGTGTTACCACGGGGGCTGGTCCCCAAAGCCCTCTCCAGCGGCTCCCTGGATAGGTGCTCCGACAGCTCGCCTATGGCTTCTCCTTCCAGCCCCAAAAGAAATTTCTTCACCAGGCATCAGTCTTTCTCCACGAAGACTGAAAAAAGCAAACCCAACAGAGAAATTAAAAAACACTCCATGTCATTCTCCTTTGCCTCTCACAAAAAAGTGCTGACCAGAAGAACCCCCAGCACTGGGAAATCCCAAGTCTTCACCAGAGACCAAGTCACAAGGGGTTCTAAAAAAGAAAGCCAGCTGGCCGGCCGCGTCGTCCAGGAAGACGGGTCTGAAACCCTCAGTCCCGCTGCTCTGGGCTGCAGCTCGAGGTCCTGCGCACTCTGGGTGGACGACGTGTTCCAGCTGGCCGAGCTGGGGGGCCCGGGGAGCCCTCCCTCTTATGAAGAAGCTGTCCGGTGCCAGGCATGGGAACCCGCCGCCTATGGCAGCCAGACCGTGGGCAGTATGAGGGCGAGGTTGCTGAGCCAGGACCCCTTCCTGCCACCTGTTCTCCCGCCTCCCCACCGAGAGGACTCAAGAGACAGATGCAGTGGAGAGCCACTTGCTGGGCACAGACTGTCTCCCCTGACCCAGCACTGGGCACAGAGCAGGACTGTCAGTGCTTCTGTGGAAACTCTGGGGCACGTGGCCGTCCCAGGGAGACCGGAGCTGCACCGGCTGAGGACAGTGTCAGAGACTGTGCAGAAGAATAAGAGGGACTGTCTACTGAGACGCTGCAGCCAGCCCATGTTTGAGGCTGACCAACTGCAGTATGTGAAAGAATCCTATATTTAGGGAGGGAGGTCACACACCATGCCATAGCTTGTGGTGTCTCTGTAAAGATACGACTGTATAAAGAAGTGCTTTTAGTTTCTCTTTTTGAAAGGTCATAAATAAGCTCCTTTAGAAAGTGCTGTAGAGCCCTCCTCCGTGAGGACAGCTACACCATGGCGATGGCGCATCAGGTAGTGTCTGTGTGTACCTGGATTTGTGCAATATGTAACAAATGTATAAAATGTATTATAGACCCAGTGTTAGGTGCAAAGAATGTCTGCATAAATCCCTGCATGCTTTGTATTTTTTGCAGTGAAGTCCACTGCTGTGCTCTGCCTCCTGGGGTACTTTTCTATTGGTTAGCGTTTAAAAATTATCTTTGCTTTTTTAATGTTGCCTCACATGTCATGCCAATTTTTGCATTTTCCACAAACTCCATTTAGGGAGAAATGTTTAAATCTCTGGTATACATTTACTCCACTGAACAGCCTTGTGATAACTAATCACCATGATTAAAAAAAGGAACAGACTGTGGGAATAGGGTTCAGTGTTTGGAGTTATCCAAGGCATTACAAACTCTAGTAAAAGAAGAGGCCATAGTGAAAATTATGAAGAGGCCATAGTGAAAAATACTTAAGCATGTCCTTTCAATCATCAGATTAAATTGGGTAGATTAGTGAAAATGCATTACATCAGTATAAACTCATTTATAGCACTGTGAGTTTCTTTGTAGTTCAGTGGTGTCTTATCCAATAGTGAGGAGGTAAATGATTTTATATACATTGGGGGGTCATATGTAAAACTTCAATGTAATTTCACTACAATAAATTGCCTTCCTTATTTGAAAGTAAAAATTTTCATTCTTTACTGACATGTTATCTTCTTTCTGTCAGTTTAACAGAAATCCACCAAGAAAATCATTCACACATTGGTTCATTCAAGAAGCATTTATTGAATATATAGTCACTATTCCAGACTAACAGGCAATACTGGGGATCTTGTGTTTAGGAAGAGATGGTACCTGTTCTCTGGAAGTTCGCAAAACCATAAAAAAAAGTACCCACTTTAAGCCATTTTTTCAGCAAGCAGTCATTCAGAAGCCAAAAAAATTTACTATGTAAACACAGGGTAATATGAGAAATGTAATATTTCTCATTTCTAGTGAATTAAATTTTCCAGTACTTCTACATATCTAATTTTATGGTGCTCAGTTGACTTATTAGCAAACATAGTGATAAATGTAATTTATTAGAAATTTACTGCTCAATGATTATAATATTTATCCAGTATCTTAGAGATACTGCACTTCAATTTTCCTTATTTTATCAATCTTTTTATAAAATACTGTGTATGTTTTGATTTGTTTTAGAAATATTTTTGTGTTGGCTAGCTACCAGATGTTGAAGACTTATTCTTTCCAGAGATGATTTATTAGTAATGCTGTACAAAGTTAATATTATAAACCAGAGTTCTCAAGGCAGCATGCTCAGGCCTAATATTAAAAATACTGGTTGGTCACGGTGCCTCACACTTGTAATCCCAGCACTTTAAGAGGCAAAGGTAGGAGGGTCACTTGAGGCCAGGAATTCAAGACCAGCCTGGGCAACATAGCAAGACTCCATCTCTACAAAAATAAAAAACATTAACCAGGCATGGTAGTGCACACCTATAGTCCTAGCTACTCAGGAGTCTGAGGCAGGAGGATGGCTTGAGCCCAGGAGGTGGAGGTTGTAGTGAGCTGTAATTGTGCCACTCTACTCCAATCTGGGCAACACAATGAGACCCTGTCTCAAAAAAATAATAATAAGATAAACAAAAATAAACTTTATTAAGCACCAATAATATATAAATTTCAAGAGGCAGACCCTTCCCTTCTGACAGCTAATTTAGCAATCCCTTTCCAGAGTCGGACACTACTAGTAACAGTTACAATTTTAGCACCTATCATGTGCCAGACACTGTGCTAAAGTACTGGAAGAAAAAAACAATATCTTCCAGCATGTTCTTAGGAACTCTTATTGAGAATCAGAGAATTCCCATCAATAGACCACAAAGACGATAAACTAGGAAGCTTCAAACATATTCTCACTTTGCCCATGACCTGACCTCCAGGTGACCCTATTCAGGTCATGAAAACACTACCCAAATTTCCTTCTTCTTAAAAAGCAGGAGTGAGACCGGAAGTCCTCTCCACATGTGACCGGCACAGTTTGCCGACCAACACTTCATTGCCCCTTACCGTCAAGAGAATGTCACTATTGTCCCTGTCTCTGAACAGTGGAGGAAACGGGACACGGCTACTTCCAACATTGCACAGTGTGGCAGCCCCACTTCTACCACGTGGTCCACCGGCCTCTTCAGACAGTTTTCCCAGCCTGGTTCCAAGTGTGTTAGCTTGCGGGGGCTGCCGTAAAAAGTACCGCAGACTGTGAGGCCTAAAGAACACAAATGTAAGTCTCACGGTTCCGGAGGCTGTAAGTCCAGGACCAAAGTGCCGGCAGGGCTGGTTCCTTCTGAGGCTGTGAGGGGGGATCTCTCACAGCCGGAGACCCTCTGTGAGGATCTCTGGGATCCCCAGGGAGATGGACACAGCAGCCATCTCCCTGTTCTCTTCACCTTGTCATCCCTCTATGTGCGTCTGTCTCCCCCTTTAGTTAGAACACCAGTCAGACTGGATTAGGGGCCACCCTCACTGGCCTCATTGTAGCTTAATTTCCTCATTAAAGGCGCTGTCCCCAAATACAGTTACAGTCTGAGGTTCTGGGGGTTAGCACTTCAACATATGCATTTGGAAAGGGGAGACACGATTCAACTCAAAACACCAACTTTTGAAAAAAAGTACTTAATGATGCCTTGATTATGCCAACAGCTGGTACTATTTCGGCGTCACTGGAGGGCTAAGGCTTACGTGAGATTTGGATGACATTAAAATGACACTTTAGTCGAAGATCCAGGAACACCGGAGTTCTGTGTTCCACGGACCTCCCAAGGGCCCATATACCATGACAAGTGGGGCAGTCACGTATGTGCCTGACACCTGCAGCAAGGTGTGAGCTAGAACCGGGTTGGAAGTCAGGGCCCAAGTAGGAGCCTAAACCTCATCCAGGTCTGCTCCCCTGGGAAATTTTGTCTCTTCCAATAAAGAGGGGGAGAGGCGGGAAGACTCATGATACAGAGTGATTATCTGCGGTGACACCCTGTGCCCCCACCCACACCCTGGCACTACGCAGGACTAACAGAAATTAAAACTTGATCTAGAAATAAATGTTGGCTTGTGCGACTTAGCCAAGGCGGGGTGCTTTTGCAGGAGCTGAGATGGCGTCGGAACTCAGACCCAGCAAGGGCAACACCTGTGTTACGCCGGGCCCCTTAGCGGCCCAAGCAGCTGCTGCGGCTTGTAGCGCTAATGAACGAATAGTTAAGGGTCACAGTGCTCTCGCGGCATAGACAGAACGTCCAGAGAGCTATTAACTCTGTTTATCCTAACGTGCGATTAAAAGAAGAAATTTATAGGTGGATTTTCCTGATTGCGATCGCCCTGGAAGAACCGCCAGTATGTGCCCCCGCCCGCGGGGCCAGGCGCACAGACAGCCACGCCAGATGGGGCCGCACATACTCCGAGTTCCTTTTTTATTGAATTTTGTCATCTTAACTCCTCATCTACAAAGGGAGAATCACTATGGGATCAAAAGCATAAACGTTTTGCTAGAGATGGAAATGAATCACTTTCTAGCAATATTTGAAATGTGCACCGAGAGTGCATTTTGACCGCTCCAGAGCACAAATTAAATGCAAACGAGAAAAAAACCCGGTGGGATGAAGCGCTACCTTCCTATTACAGGCTACAAAGAGGAGGGCGTTGTGAGACAAGCAAACCTGCAGACTGTAAAAGCTTGACCCCCAAAAAGGAAATGTGGAATGTTAACATCTCTGTGAGAAAAGAAAGACAGTGTGTTGCCACAGAAAAAGTGTGTAGCCCAAATTCCCAGGACCTGAGTCTGTGAATGCCCCAAATCTGCTCCCAAGTAAACCCGTCCAAACCCCGGTTTCTCCAAGTACAAAAGGAGGATGCTGATGACCTGCGTCGGGCTGGAATGCAACAGAAAGCCCAGACAGCAGAGGCTTAAACATGAGGAGGTTTGTGCTCTTGTAAAAGAAGAACAGTCTGCTGTCCAGGGCTGCGGCACAGGCTCATGACCTCCTGAGGCCCAGGAGCCATCACGCTCAGAACTGGCTTCCTGCGGCTGTGACCTGTGGACCCAGTTCTGGGTGAAAGCTCTGCTGTTGGTATTTTTAAGTATTAATAATGTTGAACAGGGAGCCCTGCATTTTCATTTTGCACCGGGCCCTGTGAATTACATAGCCAGTCTTGCTCACACTTGCTAGCTCTCTAGCCCACTGTCCGCTCTGTGACCAGGATACCCTTCGGCCCGCCTGTCCCTCCAGATTCCAGGCAGGAACTTGCTTGCTCGATAACCTCTACTACACGCCAGGGGCCCGCACTTAGGTCACGGCTGCTCCTGCCTGCAGAGGAACCTAGGAAACACCGTCTGTCACAGGCATATTGCCTCCCCCAACAAAATGAGTCAGCAAGAAAGAAGGGACCAATGGATATTAAGGACTATTAGAACTTGATACAAACATCGAATAAAAGAGATCACTGGTACAGTGAAACACATGCAAATTCAGTAGCTATAATGATTAAAAAGGTAGGATAAATTTAGCACAGACCATCAATATCATGAGAGAATTGAAAATTTTGAATATGATTAGGGAAAATAAAAAGATAAGGTAGATAATAATCTCAGAGTATTTCAATTATTTATATGCATGATGTGACAATTTTATAATTATACAATGAGAGTAGTTTTAGGTAAAATAGGTTAATAACAATTATTAATTGACCTCCTACAATATAAAAGATACTGTTTGAATAAGGAATTATAATCTAATAGAGAAATAAGACACCCTCGGAAGCAAAGGTAAGTTCCAAGTGAGTGACAGTAATACATAGTGCTATACTAGAAATGCTTCATGGTCCCATTATGTTAAGATATGTCTCACATTGGAAAGAGCTTCTGATATTACATTTCAAAGTCAGTAATGAAAGATTTCAGCCAAGTTTAGGACATTCAAAACAATCAGTCGAGTTTCCATCTGGATATCACTTACAGGGTTTGGCCATAGCAAGCATCTTTGAGGAGAAAATAGTTGACTTCTTTGTTCCATCTTTGCTGAAAAGGGCATTTCCTATCCAAAACTGCTTTAAAGACATGAAAGAAACTAATGACACTTAAAAACACAAAAATCAAAAATATCTGCATGAGGGAGACACCATAAGCGAAATCAAATGACAAACATGGAAAAATATTTGCATCTAATAGAAGAAGGGCTAATTTCTATAATATATAAAGTTCCTGTTAAAAGGTTAGGGAAAGAATGAAACAACAAAAAATTTTTGCAAGGGATATGAACAACCAATACATAGAAAAAGAAAAACGAATGGCTCTTAAACCTTTGAAAAGATGCTCAAACTCACTCCTCTTATTAAAGTTTACTAACACACTGTGCTTATGAGGCCGTGGAGAAACTGATGCCGCCCATTTCTGTTGGAAGTGGAAGTCGATGTGAGGGGTGGGGACGGGCGTGGCGTGTGCAGAAACCAGCAAAGACGCCAGTCCCAGGAGTAAGTATGGCCACAGGGTTCAGGGCACAGGCTGCGGAGACAGGCTGCCTGGGTTCAAATCTTGAAACTACCACTTGCCCTGGACCTTGGACCTTGGACAAAGTACTTTATCTTTCTGCACCTGCATTTTCCCAACTTCAAAATGGGGACAACAATACTACCTCC